GAGAGTGAGAGTGAGAGTGAGAGTGAGAGTGAGTGTGAGAGTGAGTGAGTGAATGTGAGTGTGAGAGTGAGAGTGAGTGTGAGAGTGAGTGTGAGTGTGAGAGTGAGAGTGAGAGTGAGAGTGAGAGTGAGAGTGAGAGTGAGAGTGAGAGTGAGAGTGAGAGTGAGAGTGAGAGTGAGAGTGAGAGTGAGAGTGAGAGTGAGAGTGAGAGTGAGAGTGAGAGTGAGAGTGAGAGTGAGAGTGAGAGTGAGAGTGAGAGTGAGAGTGAGAGTGAGAGTGAGAGTGAGAGTGAGAGTGAGAGTGAGAGTGAGAGTGAGAGTGAGAGTGAGAGTGAGAGTGAGAGTGAGAGTGAGAGTGAGAGTGAGAGTGAGAGTGAGAGTGAGAGTGAGAGTGAGAGTGAGAGTGAGAGTGAGAGTGAGAGTGAGAGTGAGAGTGAGAGTGAGAGTGAGAGTGAGAGTGAGAGTGAGAGTGAGAGTGAGAGTGAGAGTGAGAGTGAGAGTGAGAGTGAGAGTGAGAGTGAGAGTGAGAGTGAGAGTGAGAGTGAGAGTGAGAGTGAGAGTGAGAGTGAGAGTGAGAGTGAGAGTGAGAGTGAGAGTGAGAGTGAGAGTGAGAGTGAGAGTGAGAGTGAGAGTGAGAGTGAGAGTGAGAGTGAGAGTGAGAGTGAGAGTGAGAGTGAGAGTGAGAGTGAGAGTGAGAGTGAGAGTGAGAGTGAGAGTGAGAGTGAGAGTGAGAGTGAGAGTGAGAGTGAGAGTGAGAGTGAGAGTGAGAGTGAGAGTGAGAGTGAGAGTGAGAGTGAGAGTGAGAGTGAGAGTGAGAGTGAGAGTGAGAGTGAGAGTGAGAGTGAGAGTGAGAGTGAGAGTGAGAGTGAGAGTGAGAGTGAGAGTGAGAGTGAGAGTGAGAGTGAGAGTGAGAGTGAGAGTGAGAGTGAGAGTGAGAGTGAGAGTGAGAGTGAGAGTGAGAGTGAGAGTGAGAGTGAGAGTGAGAGTGAGAGTGAGAGTGAGAGTGAGAGTGAGAGTGAGAGTGAGAGTGAGAGTGAGAGTGAGAGTGAGAGTGAGAGTGAGAGTGAGAGTGAGAGTGAGAGTGAGAGTGAGAGTGAGAGTGAGAGTGAGAGTGAGAGTGAGAGTGAGAGTGAGAGTGAGAGTGAGAGTGAGAGTGAGAGTGAGAGTGAGAGTGAGAGTGAGAGTGAGAGTGAGAGTGAGAGTGAGAGTGAGAGTGAGAGTGAGAGTGAGAGTGAGAGTGAGAGTGAGAGTGAGAGTGAGAGTGAGAGTGAGAGTGAGAGTGAGAGTGAGAGTGAGAGTGAGAGTGAGAGTGAGAGTGAGAGTGAGAGTGAGAGTGAGAGTGAGAGTGAGAGTGAGAGTGAGAGTGAGAGTGAGAGTGAGAGTGAGAGTGAGAGTGAGAGTGAGAGTGAGAGTGAGAGTGAGAGTGAGAGTGAGAGTGAGAGTGAGAGTGAGAGTGAGAGTGAGAGTGAGAGTGAGAGTGAGAGTGAGAGTGAGAGTGAGAGTGAGAGTGAGAGTGAGAGTGAGAGTGAGAGTGAGAGTGAGAGTGAGAGTGAGAGTGAGAGTGAGAGTGAGAGTGAGAGTGAGAGTGAGAGTGAGAGTGAGAGTGAGAGTGAGAGTGAGAGTGAGAGTGAGAGTGAGAGTGAGAGTGAGAGTGAGAGTGAGAGTGAGAGTGAGAGTGAGAGTGAGAGTGAGAGTGAGAGTGAGAGTGAGAGTGAGAGTGAGAGTGAGAGTGAGAGTGAGAGTGAGAGTGAGAGTGAGAGTGAGAGTGAGAGTGAGAGTGAGAGTGAGAGTGAGAGTGAGAGTGAGAGTGAGAGTGAGAGTGAGAGTGAGAGTGAGAGTGAGAGTGAGAGTGAGAGTGAGAGTGAGAGTGAGAGTGAGAGTGAGAGTGAGAGTGAGAGTGAGAGTGAGAGTGAGAGTGAGAGTGAGAGTGAGAGTGAGAGTGAGAGTGAGAGTGAGAGTGAGAGTGAGAGTGAGAGTGAGAGTGAGAGTGAGAGTGAGAGTGAGAGTGAGAGTGAGAGTGAGAGTGAGAGTGAGAGTGAGAGTGAGAGTGAGAGTGAGAGTGAGAGTGAGAGTGAGAGTGAGAGTGAGAGTGAGAGTGAGAGTGAGAGTGAGAGTGAGAGTGAGAGTGAGAGTGAGAGTGAGAGTGAGAGTGAGAGTGAGAGTGAGAGTGAGAGTGAGAGTGAGAGTGAGAGTGAGAGTGAGAGTGAGAGTGAGAGTGAGAGTGAGAGTGAGAGTGAGAGTGAGAGTGAGAGTGAGAGTGAGAGTGAGAGTGAGAGTGAGAGTGAGAGTGAGAGTGAGAGTGAGAGTGAGAGTGAGAGTGAGAGTGAGAGTGAGAGTGAGAGTGAGAGTGAGAGTGAGAGTGAGAGTGAGAGTGAGAGTGAGAGTGAGAGTGAGAGTGAGAGTGAGAGTGAGAGTGAGAGTGAGAGTGAGAGTGAGAGTGAGAGTGAGAGTGAGAGTGAGAGTGAGAGTGAGAGTGAGAGTGAGAGTGAGAGTGAGAGTGAGAGTGAGAGTGAGAGTGAGAGTGAGAGTGAGAGTGAGAGTGAGAGTGAGAGTGAGAGTGAGAGTGAGAGTGAGAGTGAGAGTGAGAGTGAGAGTGAGAGTGAGAGTGAGAGTGAGAGTGAGAGTGAGAGTGAGAGTGAGAGTGAGAGTGAGAGTGAGAGTGAGAGTGAGAGTGAGAGTGAGAGTGAGAGTGAGTGTGAGAGTGAGTGAGCGTGAGTGAGCGTGAGTGTGAGTGTGAGTGAGTGAATGTGAGAGTGAGTGAGAGTGAGTGAGAGTGAGTGTGAGAGTGAGTGAGCGTGAGTGAGCGTGAGTGTGAGTGTGAGTGAGTGAGTGTGAGTGAGTGAGTGAGTGAGTGAGTGAGTGAGTGAGTGAGTGAGTGAGTGAGTGAGTGAGTGAGTGAGTGAGTGAGTGAGTGAGTGAGTGAGTGAGTGAGTGAGTGAGTGAGTGAGTGAGTGAGTGAGTGAGTGAGTGAGTGAGTGAGTGAGTGAGTGAGTGAGTGAGTGAGTGAGTGAGTGAGTGAGTGAGTGAGTGAGTGAGTGAGTGAGTGAGTGAGTGAGTGAGTGAGTGAGTGAGTGAGTGAGTGAGTGAGTGAGTGAGTGAGTGAGTGAGTGAGTGAGTGAGTGAGTGAGTGAGTGAGTGAGTGAGTGAGTGAGTGAGTGAGTGAGTGAGTGAGTGAGTGAGTGAGTGAGTGAGTGAGTGAGTGAGTGAGTGAGTGAGTGAGTGAGTGAGTGAGTGAGTGAGTGAGTGAGTGAGTGAGTGAGTGAGTGAGTGAGTGAGTGAGTGAGTGAGTGAGTGAGTGAGTGAGTGAGTGAGTGAGTGAGTGAGTGAGTGAGTGAGTGAGTGAGTGAGTGAGTGAGTGAGTGAGTGAGTGAGTGAGTGAGTGAGTGAGTGAGTGAGTGAGTGAGTGAGTGAGTGAGTGAGTGAGTGAGTGAGTGAGTGAGTGAGTGTGAGTGTGAGAGTGAGTGTGAGAGTGTGAGAGTGTGAGTGAGTGAGAGCGAGTGAGCGAGCGAGTGCGGCTGTTGGTTTGTACCCCACCCAGCTAACAGTGTTATTTGAGACACACATCCAGTCACTTAACAGCAGTACTGTGAGCCAAATACAGTTACAATAATAAAACCACTCTGAGCTTCAGTCACAGTATATTGTAGAGAAATAGAACTGGTCATTATTAGGTCAATTTGATAGACCTGTTATAGAATGATATATATATATATATTATTTAATTTTTTTATATATATAATTTTCTGTCTGTCCTGAAAGTCTCTGGACTTATAATACATATAACATTATAAAGACTTATTTTTATTTATGCACTTCCTGTCATGTCTTGAATGTCTCTGGCCTTTGTTCATGATTAATAATGGCAAACTTTTATTTATTTTGAAAATATTTCAAATAAATAAACATGTTTATGCTATAAGTATTTTCTATTTATTTATTTAGATTAATAGATAAAGTAAACAATCTTACAATATATTTATTTATAATAAAGATTTAATTTTATGTATTTTTTGTCTTGAATCAATTGACTTTATAGTACTTCATCTTTTCATCAAAATTAATAAAAAATAAAAATGTGAATGATTATGCAAACAATATTTCATCAAAATAAATAAATTAACAAAAAAAGCTTGATTATAAATAAATGTGTATTTTCTGTCGGTCCTGAATTTATCAGGCATTAAAGTTCATGATAAAATCATTGCACAGAAAAAAAATCAAATAAACAAACAAATAAAACTGTTTATGCTAAAAAAATATTTATTCTACATTTCAATATTTAATTTAGATATAAGTTTGCAGAAAAAAAGTCTTAAAAAAATGTGTAATAAAGATTTAATTATGTATTTTCTGTCTCGAATTTCTCTGGATTTATTGTACTTGATTTATCATTGCTCACATGATTTTATTTATCTATTTTTTATTAATTTTGATGAAATGTTGCAGAAAATAATGTTTCATCAGAATTAACAAGTGAACACAAAAATCTAAAGAAATGATAAATAAATTTGTCTTGAATTTGTCAGGCATTACAAATATTTTAGGCAAATATTTCAAATAAATGAAAAATGTTTATGCTACGAATAAACTTATTTATTTTGATGAAAGGTTGAAGGAAACAATCTTACAAAATAAATACATTTTTAATAAAGATTTAATTATGCATTTTCTGTCTTTCTAGAATCTGTCTGGCTTTATAGTACTTGATTAATCATTGTACACATGATTTTTCTATTTATTTATTTTGATGAAAAGTTAAAGAAAACAATATTTCAAATTTATTCATAATAAAGATTTTTTTAATTCATCGTGTTTTCCGTCAGTCTTGAATTTGTCTGGCATTACAGTGAATTGTTGACAGTAACACCAGGAATGTGCATTAAGTCCATAAGGTTCATATTGACTAAGTTCATAACATACATGAATGGGTGTGTCAGTGAACTACACTGAATGACCTACATTCACACCACACTCATTAACCTCGGGTTTTATCCGAGGGGTGGGTGTGTGTGTCTGTGTGTGTCTGTCTGTGTGTGTCTGTCTGTGTGTGTCTGTCTGTGTGTGTGTGTCTGTGTGTGTGTGTC